GAAGAAGGAAATGAGATATTTTATGGAAAAATTGGAATATTTCCATTTGTTACTTGGCAGCCGGCTAAGAGACGGAGTAAAAATAGAGATACTGGAACTTTAGAGCTAAAATCATCAACATCTGTCAAGAGAGAAGATATAAAAGAATGTTTGACTGAAAAGGGTATTCCAGCTATTCATGAAAAATGGCCAAGAGAAGATCGAGGAAGGACTATATTTATTCAACAAGATAATGCAAGAACACATGTTGAGTGTGGAGATAAAGATTTCCAAGAAGCTGCATCAAAAAAAGGTTTTGATATTCAATTGATGTGTCAACCGCCAAACTCGCCGGATTTAAATATTTTAGATCTTGGGTTTTTTAATGCCATCCAGTCTTTAGAGAATAAGGAAAGCCCAAAAACCATAGAAGATCTTGTTTGTGCGGTTGAAGAGTCTTTTGAAAAATATTCGATGGAAAAGGTAAACCATATGAGCGTGAACTTGGATATAACTTACGCAGCCGTGAACGTGGATATAACTATACAAGCGTGAACTTGGATATAACTATACAAGCGTGAACTTGGATATAACCATATGAGCAGCTATATTTAAAGAACATGAATATAACCATACAAGCGTGGATGAAGAACTAAAATGAGTGTGGACGTCTTGATAATGACGGGTGCGTAAGTATTTGAAAACAATTTCAGTGTGTACATAAAAAATAATGAGCAGTTATATTTAAAAAATATGGATATAACCATAGAAAAGTAGAAGATGATCAGACTAAGTATTTTATTTAAAGACGAGTAAGAATGAATATGGATAAAGGTATATTTGTGATAAAGACCATCTTTACGTGGATGGTTAAACTAAATTCAGGTTACCATTTGTATTGAGACGACATATTGTGGACGTGACTATGTGACTATAAAAAATGAATATGGATATAGACATATTTAATGGGGAGAGCATAAATAATAAGTTCTGTTAGAGCCATTGAATGTCCATATGTTTGTGTGGACAAGTCCAAATTATGTTTGTGAGCAACAGAGACATATCCACATTAATTGTAAACGGAAAAGGTAGCAAAGAGTTGGCCGGAGATCCATGGAACATGGTCTGCTGGGTGATAGGATGCCAATGATTAATTTGCGAGACCGGAAAGATTCTAGGTGTGGACAAATATATAAAAAAAAAACAAGGTAGGTTCGGACAAAAACAGAAAAATGGGTAAAGATTGGCAATGAACAATTAATTTATCCCACTTAAAATATTGATTGGTCAAGGTATTACACTACAAATTGTCCAAAAATAATTGTCCATAATATATCGTCCATTAAAAGTTGCGTCGTGAATAAATCATTTTGGATACATGGTTATCCACTCATATACACAAAATAATAAAATTAATTGAATTGTAGAGATGTTATAATTGATAATATCATAGTAAATTCATTTTTGACCATGTAGACGTGTCCACAAGATAAATAAAAATAATGAATAATTTGTGTCTAACTGGTACATATTGATGATCTACTAAATTTTGTTATATGGACAAGTTATTAATATTGGGGGTTTTAGGAAGAAAGCTCTCATGTTTTAAGACAAGTGAATAAGTGAGACAATATGGACGTTCAAGAATCTTGTCCAATTTGGTATGAGTAAAAATATGAATAACTTGGTGTTATGATCGTTGTGCTCTGTTCAATGAAACATTTACATGTAATGGTGTCCATATAAACCTATCTACATCTTATATGCCGAGTTATGGACACATTCACAAATTTAACGGATATCCCATTTTTGGAAAATTAGCATCAAACTCCACCTAATTCTCTGGACGTATCCACTTATGTGTGATACCATGATGGTCCGTCCACGATTTGTTGGTTATATTGCATCTCAAATATAGGTATGTATATAGACTCACCATCCACATCCATCTGGTTCTCACCATCCACGTCCATCTGGTTCTCACCATCCACGTCCATCTGGTTCTCACTATCCACGTCCATCTTGTTTACACCATTCACATCCATCTGGTTCTCACCATCCACATCTTCGACGAAATCAAAAGTATCGAGCCAAATACGAGATTTTTTTTTTTCCATGGATCATTGATCTCTGTTGTGAATCAACCCTAAGATCTTTTCCTCATGCCTCTGAATCGAGTCTCCCTAAGAAATCTGTTGTGATTCTCGATCTGTTATGATTCTCGATGACGGGTCTGGTAACGGCAACCACGGTAAGTCCGGCGGCAACGGCGGAGAGCCTCTACCTCTCCTCATACCCAAATTAGAAAATATGTAAAGAACTAGAAAAAAAACAGAAGAAGAAAGTGTAGAAAGAAAAAGAAAGTGTGGAAGAAGAAAGAAGAAAAAAAGTACCAAGGAAGAAAGAAGGAAGAAAGAAGGAAGAAAGAAGGAAGAAAGAAGGAAGAAAGAAGAAAGACGAATAAAGTAAGAAGATGTAGAGAACCAGAAAAAATCGTCTATTCTATTAAAACAGAAGCACTTTTAGTACCTGTTTCCAAACACACCTAAATTTTTTAAAAATATTTTATTTTATATTATAGTAAATTTCAAAAATTGGCTATTAATTTGGATATTGTTAGATTTCATTAAATATAGGTTATATTTAATTTAATTTTCAAATTATTCGATTTTTTAATTAATTTTAATTACGAAAATTTAGATTCAATTTAATTTGAAAGAAAACTACAAATTATAAATAAATTTATTACAAAAATTTAGATAATAATTTTAGTTATTTGAGAATTCTTTTTTTTTCTCAGTTACTTGAGAATTCTTTGAATATAAGTTAGATTTAATTTAATTTTTAATTTAAATAAAATTTTCATAATAATACAAATGGTAAATGAATATCTTATTGTATTTTATAATAATCAATCGGTCTAAAGTATAAAATATTCAATATTGATAAATATTTATATTATACAATAATATGGTGGAGCAAGTTAGAGTTATGCACTTATAATTACAGTTTTATTCGGATTAGTTTGTCAAATTATGTAAAATATTAAAAAATAATTTGAGATAATTAAACGGACCGGCTAGCCAATTCATAGATATGTAGATTGTTTATGTGTAAATCTAAATTTACATAATAACAAAGTTCATAATTAACATTAGATCAATATATACTTAATTAACTCATATCCTTATTCTACTAATATAGAAATTTATACTATTCAAAGTTAAAACATAATAACAAAATTCTTGATTAAAAAAATAATAAAATGAAATTCTATAAAATAAATTTATATTAGAAATAAAAATGAAAAATTCTCGTGCGGATGCACGGGGTTAGAATCTAGTTATTGTTTAAGTGGTATACATATTTTTGGTTTAATAACAAAAAGGGGCATATTATATTTTAGCAAATGAAAGTTTGAAAAAGTGCCACTAAATACGAAAGTGTCAAAATCTGTAAATTATAACTAAAAAAATGTCATATAGCGTAAATATTTCTTACTTTTTACTTTGAACATTGAAAACAGCTTATATTATGAAACAAAAAAAATCATTCAAAACTGCTTATATAAAGAAACAGAAGGAATATATAATATACATATATATAACTATAATTAGATTTACTCTATTTATATTTAATTTAAATATAAGTTATGAACCACTTTTCTCATTCAACAATATATTGAACCGTTCGATCTGCTTGCTCTGCATTTGATCTGCCAGATCTATCTAATCCGCACTTGATCCGTCAGATCCGTCTAATCCGCACATGATTCATCTGATTTGTTTGAACCGCTAAATCCGCATCGCCTGATTCGCTTTCTCTATTCGGAGCCTTATTCCAACATTCCTTGGCCTTCTATTTCATTACATTCTTACATTTTTTAAAAAAAAATTTTCTCTTGTTTAATAGGTCTGGTTTACTAGATCCGGTTTTACACGGCAACAATACAATATAAAATTTTAATGAATTTATCGGTTCGCAGTTTGGTTACACGATTTCACTTCCGGTTTCTTGGATTTCAAAAAGAGAAAATTGCTGAATGGGATGTTTTTAAGTTTTAAATTTGAGGAATAGGATGTTTTGAAAACCATAGAAGGAAATGGCTGTTTTTACTGTTTGTATTCCCACAAGGGCCCTTAGGCAAATTTTATTTTTTAAATTGCCATTATCGAAGTAAAATAACTAAAAATGTCTGATTAAATCCGATTTGGTAAACCGATTACACAAAATTTGAAACCGAAGTCCAATAGCATAAACCGAAGTAAAACGAAATGTATAATTTATCGACACCCCAACATTTATATTAAAAATTTAATTTGGGATCCACATCTGGACGTCGTCTATCTACCATCTCCGGCAATCCAGCTCCGATTAGCCTCCGATTAACCGTTGTAATGGCGCGGAAAGTTAAAAAATCGTTAACGCGGAACAACACCGTGCCTCCGGTTTCGAGGCGAGCACTCCGGAGTAACTCGAAGACAGCTCCGACGGACCACTCGCCGCCCATGCCACCGTGACGGAGTGACCGGGTTGAACATCCCATTCACTCGAGTCGTCTGAATCCACGCCGGCGGTGTAAAGCCAAAGTACAATTCGCTCCTCTTTTCCTAGAATGGCCTGCTCAGAAATCTAAAAGTAAGTTACATTTATGAACTTCGACCTTGTCTGAACTGTACTGGCGGTTTGTAATTCAAATTAAGATTGAAATTAAGATTAAGATTGAAACGGGGCGCCTGATTGGCTTGATTTATGTATTGGCGGTTATGAACTGTAGTACTTATGTCTATATATTGATTTCAAACGGTTGGATTACTCTTATATCATCTAGAAACCGTTACAGGAGTTTTTATAGGAGACCATACGAATAGGGTAGTTTTTCCACATCTCTGTTCTCTCTTTCGAACTCCTTCGAACTCCTTTCCCTCAAATATTTTCCCTGGGTTCGCATTTTACTGTTTATCCAGAATACTATATCTTTTCGTGCATTTTGGAATTGTTGTTTTCGTTCAAATACAGGTATGGAAGACGGAGAACCTTCAAATACAGGCATCGAAGATGGAGAAGCTTCAAATAACCTTTCGGAAAAACTACCAAAAAGAGTCCTCGGCGATGGTTGCTACCCCGTTGGTGCTCGGTTGAACATATATTCAAAGGCCAATGTCATTGGCCTCCTTGTCGAGGCATTAAAGGGTACTGAAGATCTTCAGAAACAACTTCATTCCCAGTTTGGGAAGTTATTCCATCTACTTGTTGCAAGATGTTGCAACAGCGCCAAACTTGTTCATGCCCTTCTATCACGACAACTTGTGACCACGAAGAAACACGAGATTTGGTTCCTCTTTGGTGGACAGCCTCTGAGATATTCGATACGGGAGTTCAAGGAAATCACTGGATTGAATTGCAATCCCGAACCTGATAGCACAGAAGAAGAAGAAGATGTCGGAAAAACAGGAATCTGGAAAGACCTGTTCGGAAGAGCGAAGGCGATGAACGTGTTTGATGTGCTTGAAATGCTAAAGGACCCGGATCTACCCCGCTGGAAACAGCTTCCATTGGCCCTAATCGTTCTTGTCGACGGTGTTCTGTTTTACAATAGCAAAAATCTGGCCCTCACCGAGAAATACGTTGAGATGCTGACTGACTTGGATAGGTTCATGCTGTATCCATGGGGGAGGGTATCCTTTAACAAAACAGTATCTCGTTTTCAAGCTCCGAATGCAATCACGGATGCCGAGAAAAGGGAGAATCCTGTAACACGATTGCGCCGTCAACTTAAACAAAAAACCAGTGCATGCTATGGATTCCCTCTATCACTACAACTCATGGCCCTCCAATGTATACCAATGTTGGTTTCCAAAATTCCTCAACCTGATAACTTGAAGACATTCTCCTTGAAGATCCCGAAGGCTGTCAAAACGTTATCACACTGTTGCATCTTGGGGACATACATGCCGTGGAATCCGACCCTCTGGTAAATTATTTGTAGTACTATATTTAGTACTATTTGTAGTCTTATTTTGTAGTACTTGTCTTAAAAGATAAGTGCTCTGTCATTTTGGTTGGTAATTTTGCAATTGTATTTTTTTGTCTTAGTTGTCTGTGAAACAGATGGTACTGGATGATGGTGAGAATGACCAACAGAATGAATTGCGTTGGGGAGATGAGGTAGAGGATGCCGAAGTTGCATTCATGCAGGAACTCATGGCGGAGGGGTACAAATTCACACCTTCGGATTTTGCAGTGGCACCGGCCCCTATCGTGGATATTAGTGATGCAGAGGACGAGGTTACCAATGCACAGGAACCTGAGCCATCCACCAGACCGAAGAAGAAACAGAAAACTCATCAAACTGAAAAACGTCCCATGCAGAGGAAGAGAGGCAGGGGCAAGAACTCTTCTAATCTATCGGAAGATGAATCCCCTGAAAGTGGATTCATCAAAGAGCTTAAAAGATGGATAGTACGTCAGAATACTTTGCTCCTTCGAGACATTAAGACCGAGTTGGACAAGAGATTGGGCGTATACCAAGAGGACGAAGAAGATGACGATGTACACCAGTCAAAAGAAGAAGGGGAACAGGATGACGAAAGACAGCACACAAAAAAAGCTGGATCAAAACCGGATAAAGATGCAGACGAAGCCGAAGATGGAGGTGAAGAAGGAGGTTATGATGGGGCACAGTCTAGCGTACGCCATAATGATGGTGTACACCCCGAAGATGGTGTACACCAGAAAGAAAGAGATGATGAAGAAGGGACATCTACTTACTACGGCGGGGACCATTATTCTCCCAGGGACCATGCGTACTTGAAGACTCCAGAAGCTCCGACGATGACCCCTGAACCGGGACAAGCCAATTCAGGAACAACTCGTCCACCTCCTTACTTCGTCATTTCGGATGAAGATCCACCTTCTGGCCTCAACGAGGTGAGCTAATTGTTTAGTCAGCAGCTGACTCTATTAAGTTTCATAACGTGGGTGTATTGTGCTATGTTATTTATGACTTATTCAGGTGGATGGTGGTAGAACAAATTTGGTGTCAGGCCCCTTAGTAGTCTACAAACCTCAGACTCCTCACCCATTGAGCTACGCATATAAGAAACATGAAGCGCAGACAGATGCGCAGGATGCAGAGGTCAGACATTAAAGTTGTTCATATGATATGGATGTGTATACAGTAGTGTTTAGGTATACGCTAGGTATACGATTGATATGTTATACGCTTTATTGTTACGGTGGTTTGTAGGCTGTGGCTAATGAGGACGACTCATTAGCGGGGAAAGATTACCATAATGCGCCTGAGGATGCAAGTGATGCTTCGCAGAAGACCCCTTGTACTCCTAAACCCCCACAAGAAGTTGAGGGATCGTCTGGTGTAAGGAGAAAAAGTGGAGGAACAGGAAGAGGAGGAAGAGGAAGAGGAACAGGAAGAGGAGGAAGAGGTAGAGGAAAACGCGCACGTGTACGGTCGGACAAGATTCGAGATATTTACACCGCTGATTCAAAGGTGAAAGCTCTATTTGTATCCAGATCGAAAGCTGCGTACAAACCACTCGAAACCGTTGAACAAGACCACATCAAGGCATTTCACGAGTTATTATCGCGTGAAAGAAACATGTAAGTTATATCGTATTGAAAGCAATTTATCCTTAAACTTTCATTCTAATCAATTACCAATTGCTCTCATTACAACGACTTTTGCATTGTCACTGGTCATACTGTGAACAATCAATTCTTCCTACAAATTGCGAAGCCTACTGAGTGGGTTAACACGATGGTGAGTATATAGTTATAGTTAGTACTTACTCAATCTTTAATTATCTGTAATATATGTTATTTATGTTTTGTTATTCGTCAGCACATGCAAGTCATAATGGCCATGCTTTGGAGACGTAGAGGAGAAATCTACTTGAAAGACAGGGTAGCATTTGTAGACACCTTGTTCATATCCATCATCGGCAACTACTACAACGATTTCATATCGCGAGACAAAAATCAGTATGACTGGGGGAAAACCATTCAGGGCATTGTATTGGGAAAACCAGCAAAGTGGGCTAATCAGCGGCAGAGGCAAATGTTTATACGGTTTGTGGACGTTGTATACGTCCCGATGAACTGGGGGTCTGAGCATGTGGTGGGCCTTGTAATTGACTTTAAAACGGGCAACATAAAGATTTTGGACTCATTCATCAGTCATAATGATGAAGCGGCTGTGGAGCAGTATATGGCGCCCGTGTGTCAAAGTATGCCATTTATATTGAAGCGTTATTTGGATAGCAAATTAACGGAAGGCCTACGCACCACCCCTTACACATGGAGTCGTTTGGAGGGCATATATCAGAACAAAAGATCCGGTGACTGTGGGCCATGTGCGGCCAAATTCTTAGAGATGCATGCTGTAGGGCTTGGAGTGGAGGATATGGCTTTGATAACGGACGATGACGTTGACAGGTTAAGGGAGAAATACGCCATCGACTCATACGAAGAGTTTGTCGGGAATCCGGCTATTGCCAACGCTTAGGACGAATGTTGAAGTTTAATGTTGAACTTGACAATTTAAGGAAGGGTTATTTGTTGGATTATGTGTTTTATAATGTTTAGGATGTGAGTTTATTTGATAATTTATATGCTTATAATTTAGTTTACTTTAGTTTACTTTACTATCTATTAAATGGTGTGTCAATTATTTAGTTTGGTTATAATTTAGTTTACTTTAATAATTGCGTTTCCGTACACCTAATAGCGTTTAGTTGTATACCAATATGCATCAAATGGGAGTACATAAAGAAAAATTTGTTTATACTTCACTTTATTTTAGTATTTATTAATTGGTGTGTGAATATTTTGTTCCAGCCGAAATATGTACCTGTACACCACCAATATCCATTTAGGTGTACATCAACTGGGTGTACAACAAGGAATTTTTGGGTTTATGCAATAATTTTACAAACTCATTTACAATCTTAACGGAAACCGCATTTAATGTATACGCTCAATTAGTAGGCTTATTTTATTATTATATATATGCAACATAAAGAACCGTTCCGCTTCACAAATCCTAAACTGCAGTTATTCCATCTCCATAAACAACCGTTTTCATCACAATTGAACCTCACAAATTAACTATGGCACCAAAGAGAGGGTGATGTGATGCGGATATCCGTGATTGTCAATCCCCTCTGATGGCGCTTCCCGACGAACTATTGGAGAAGGTTCTCGCATACAGTTGCAACTCCGTCCAACAAATTTTCACATTGAAGCAAGTTTGCAAACGGTTCCAGGCCTGCACTTTAACCAAAAATTTTCTCGCATCGGTTGATCCCGTGGAATTGGAGATGCCTATTCCCAAAGATTTCGATATGCCTTTTATCGCGTTTTGGGAATTTCCCAACTTGTTGAGGAGGATGTATGACGCACACAATCCTGGTTTGCTGTTCATGAAGGGGATGCAAGACTACTTCTGCCGTGGAGACAAAGGTGGCATAAAACTCATCAAGGAATCTGCAGATATGGGATACGAAACAGGTATTTACATGTATGGCATGTACATGAAAGCAGTGGTCGAAGACCCCGTGGGTTTAGAGTATCTTTCAAAACTAAGCAGGGGGCAATGAGGAGAATAATTCGGAAAATTATTGATGGAGGTGAGCGTGGTTATGTTAATTTGCCTGAAGAGTTTTCGAGGATGAGATTTGAGACTAATGCTCAGTTTGCCACACTTTGGTCTTGGCGCTGTGGTGTTGCCAATGCTCAACTTGATTGGCATGACGAATTGTTAAAGGGGCCAAGCATGTGCACGTCGTGTTTCTGGGCACAGGAAACGCAAAAGTTCTTCGTATTTGTTTGGTATGCAGCGCGTTCTGGGCCGTCAATGGAAGAATGGTGACCATTTTCGGTGTGTACACCTGCGTTGTGTACACCTTGGTGTGTAATCGATTAGATTCCATATTTCGTACTTTATGATTTAATCTTTTATTTAGGCCTACTACGTATGTATGTATGTAGGTGTACTTTGTTTTCCTTTCTATCTATGTATACTTTAATTGTGTTGACTTTATTTAATTTCGGTGGGTGGTAGTTTCACTTTCTCGAGAACCATTCTATTATATCTTTAAAGTCTCAGTTTAACTCTCTTTGTGCGCCTAATAACTAAAAAAAAAAAAGAAAACCTCAATATGTACACCTAAATTTGTACACCTGAATGTTACATTTATCACATATTATATATTTGAGTATACAAACGACATTATCTCTTTTGTGGGAATTTTTAGAGAAGATGGATATACAAACGACATTATTTATTAAAAGTCTCACCTTACCTATTTCTGTACGCATATTTTTAAAAATATGCATGATTTCGTCTATGTGGACAATCTGTACTCTATATCTCGGGTAACGTGATATTGAGAAAACGTCTGTAATGATGACAAGAAATTTATTTCCAACAAATATAAAAAGGGCTGGGTTGTTAATGAAATTTCGATAATATCATAAATACTAATAGTATTGTGTCAGATATCATAAATGTATTGTGGTAAACTAATACTATTGTCTCAGATATCATAAAAAGTTTAATGGTGAAATTTGCTTTTATTTGGTAATTCTCTGTATTTATTGTGGTAATTTAATTTTGGCGGTAAACGAAAAGACACATTTTCGTCTCTTTTCAACGTCTCTCTTCAAAGACACATTTTCGTCTCTTTTCAGATATCATAAAAAGTTTAATGATGAAATTTGCTTTTATTTGGTAATTCTCTGTATTTATTGTGGTAATTTAATTTTGGCGGTAAACGAAAAGACACATTTTCGTCTCTTTTCAACGTCTCTCTTCAAAGACATCTATTCGGCTCTATTAAAACCGCACTACTACCTCTTTAAATTCAATCCCTTCACCATAACTGCCTACTTAGAACCATCATAACTTCCTCTTTCAAACCATTTTCAATCCTATCTCTTCTTCCTCATTACATTTTCTTATCTTTTCTCTTTTCACCAAAATAAACGATGGTTCGAAGGAGAAACAGAGGTGGTGTTGGTGCTTTTTCCTATCTTCACTCACTCTCTGATGAATTGCTGGAACAAATTCTGGCCGCTACAAACCCAACTATAAGGGAAATAGCCCGCCTCCGTGCTGTTTGTTCTCGTTTCAACCGTATCGGCACAAGCAGGGGTTTCTATCGAGCCATTGATCCCGCTGAAATCGTGCATGAACCAGCGGCGGTTCCACATTACCCAGCGATGATGAGGAGATTCTATGACGCGGGTAATCCAGGGGTTATTTTCGACAGGGGGATGCAAGCCTACTTTTTCTTCCACGATGGTGAAGGCGTGGAATTGATAAGGGCTACTGCGTAGGGAGGCTACGACCGAGCCCTTTTTGTGTACGGGATGTGGCTCAGAGCTGTGCCGGAAGACTTCGTCTGTGCAGAGGAGTATTTGGGCAGGCTCACGGTGCAAAACCGGAGGAGGTTGAGCCGGTTGTTGCTGGCCGATGTTCCACACAGATGGAATTTCGATTTGCCAGTGGATTTCACTAAGAAAGCGGCTGCCTTTCATCCGAGATTCCTTGCGCTGTACACCTGTCAGTGCGGGGTTATCAATTACTGGCTCCAGTGGTTTAGAGAAGACTTTAAGCAGCCAAAGTGCACAACCTGTTTCTGGGCCCAAGAGACCCAAAGGTTCTTCCGCTTCATTAGGAACGTCGTTCCAAGCTGGCCGGTCATGCTCGATTGGTGAAAGCCGTAATCTTAGTATTTGGTTGCATTTGTGTTTCGTTAATTATTTATGTTGTCTTAGTGTTCCGAACTACAACTGATGTTTTTGAAATTGCTTGTCTGCTTTCGTTTTTTAGTACTTATGTTGATTTATGATATTTTTAGTACTTATGTTGATTTTATCATAGCTCTTACCATTTACATAAAATATGGAGAATTAAGCCATTCGAAATACATAAATGAAAGTGCCAGGATTTCATTTCGTCTAGGGCAGTAATTAATTATGTACACCTATTCACTGTAATTATTTATGTACACCTATTACAGTATACATATTACACTATACCTATTCACTGTAATTATTTATGTACACCTATTACAGTATACCTATAGACGTACACCTACATGTTGAAAATAAAGTAACATTACATCTTTTAAAAGAACGATGAATACGGGATCGTAAACGTACACTAACATTGGTATACGGGTTCGTAAACGTACACCAACATTGGTATACGGGTTCGTAAACGTACACCAACATTGGTATACGGGATTGTAAACAATTTTTGGACATAAGGCTGTATTTAAACTTCATATTTATTTTTGAAATAACCACAACATCTAACAATAGCACATTGATACTAAAGCATTTTTGCAAAGCGTTCTGCCGAACATCTAAGATAACAATTTTAACATCTATACGGGATCGTAAACGTACACTAACATTGGTATACGGGTTCGTAAACGTACACCAACATTGGTATACGGGATTGTAAACCCTTTTAGACATAAGGCTGTATTTTAAACTTCATATTTATTATTGAAATAACCACAACATGTAACAATAGCACATCGATACTATAACATTTTTGCTATTTTTTCTGCCGAACATCTAAGATAACAATTTTCACATCTAACAATGTAATGCACATTCTCGTGATACACTTCGCACGACGCAGAGTAGTCTTCATGAATGAGACTAGGGTACCTGAACGTTTTCTCGTATGTATGTTTATTCAAAATGACCAGAATAAATATACTATATCTTCGACGACTTCAAGAATTTCACGAGAATCATGAGGATAGTGGTACCTGAAAACCATCTTTAGAAGTTTTTTCCCTCTGTTAGGGCGACCCACGCACATTTGCAAAATGGCACAGCTGTAAGTGGCATAGACGTCTGATGGAACGAGCTTATTTAGCATCCTGATGGCGGTATAGATCTTCTCCTCTGTTGACACAAACCTTATAGCTTCGACCAATATGGCCCGTGGATTTTTCGACGCTAAGCAGCGCAGGAATAAAGGCCGATATACTCCACCAGGGTATATCCGAGATGGTGTGTCATGCAATGTCCATAGGTATGCCGATCTGAGTACTTCCGCGCTAAACGCAATGTCTCTACCACGGGTCCCTGCCAGAATAATCGGTCCAAGGTAGATGCAGTCAGACTCAGCAACTTTCTTGACAATGATTTCGAAAATATGATCTTGTAAATCTGGCATTTTTTTTGGAAGGATATAGGGTTTGTGTAGGGTGAACTTTCTTCGCAATTTTATGAAACTATATATTGAATTGGATGGGTAGTTGTAGTTGAGTAACAGTTAATGGTAAGACAATTAGCGTGTAGTTGAACAGAAGTAATATTACAATAAGTTTGTGAAGTGATGTTTACCAACTTCAGAAATTAAAGTACTAGTTACATTGTTACAACTAGTTAAGTTCTTAGTAGCTACTTGTTACAATAATATCGTCAAGTGATGTTCACTTAGTTTCCACCTTAAATTTATTACAAAAATTAAACTAG